GACAACGAGAAGCTCACATTCGCTGCAGGGTTCGACTGGAACATTGCAGCTGGAGCGCTCAAAAGCCCGGTCGGAGCGTAAGTGCGCCAGCCTGGACGTGGCTGCTCGCGCCGCTGCCGTGCAATGACCGGACAGGCACTTGTTGCAGCCTCGCTGCTGTCATGTCCCGATCCGCGGCGCGACGGCAGGCGGCCTTGGTCGCTGCCCAGCCTGACCACGGGGACGCGACGTGCGGCTCTGGACCCCGCGAGAACGCACGACAAATGCCTCTCGCTCGGGGAGTGCCGATCGGCGGCAGCACACGGGCTATGAGGAGATACTGGCGCCGAACTGATCGTGACTGTGAGGGCTTCCTTGCCGATGGTCACCCGTGGAGCTGGAGAGGTGCTTGATGGATGGGCTCGTATTTAGTGCTAGTCCGCACGCGACAGGCGTGCATCCCCTCCCCCTCCCCTCCCAATACGTGAACGACCGGGAAGGTCAGATCAGGCCGTGCCTGGCCTGGCTCTGTTCCAAATTGATCAACAGCAGGCGGAAGGTCACTGCCCCGGACTTGGAGCTGGAACAAGCCCTGCAACAATTTACACTTTATCCTAATGGTCTAGCCTGCAATGGAAAAGTGCTGGGCATTCCATTGGAAAATTGAGCCGTAATGCGTCCCCGCTTTAAAAGATATGATGACATTGAAAAACCCAGCTCCACCTATTATCTTCCCACGCAATGCCGCAGTGCCCAAATCGCCGTTTTGTCAAATGCACTTCTCTGGTGGGCACATTGGCACCAGTTTCTGGCCAAAGCACCGGATCGGCTGGAAGATTGCACGTCCGTTTCCCACGCCGCTTCAGTGGCTTCACATGCGGACGAGAATGTGACAGAGCAATGAGCGGAGGCTTCCATGGTGATCGCACTCTGATGAGTGCTCTGGCGGCCGGGATCCCCGGCATTGCTGCTGCCAGTGTGTCGGAACAGCCGGAACGGCCAGTCTAGACAGGCCGCCAGCCGGCGCGGGCCGCGGCCAATCATCGGCCGGCTCGCGGCCCCCGAGGCGGGTACGTGACCCGCTGACCCGCAGCCTCCCCCCCACCCTGGTGAGCGCGCGCCAGAGGCACGGAGCGGGGCGCGGCCGCCGCGAGGTGACCCGGTCCGGCGCCGCAGACGGACGAGCCGGAGGCGGACGGAGCCGGCGGACGCTGTCCGGACCGCACGGACCACCCGCCGCCGGCTGTGGCGAGAGCCGCGGTTTTGGCTGGCGAGATTGGGCCGCGTTGGTCAGCGTCAGCACGGAGTTGGCCGGCCGGGAAACCCACCGTCCAGAGGTCGCAAATCAGAACGGAAATGTGAAGCTCCGGGGTTCTCGGCCATTCTCGCCCAAATAAGATGTCTCGTTTCTGCGTTCCGCGGGGTCATTGAAGTGTGAATTACGGCCTACTGACTACATAAAACTATAATAAACTTCAACGCCCTGGAACTCCCCACTGGTGGTCTACGACCAAACCACAGAAGTGCTTCGCCGGTGTAATAAAAGCAATACACATTCAGGGTCGTCTCATAACCCATCCGCATCCAGTGAGGTTAATGTTTTGTTGCCACAGAAAAGCACACTGCCGGCGGTCCTTCATTAATGACTACTGCGCCCATGTCAGTTCCTTTGGTTTTGGCCGAGCCGAGCTCGTCCCGCGCAGACTGCAGCTGATCTCGACTGGCCTTCCGCGGACTGTAGCCGAGCTCGACTGGCCTCTCGTGGACTGTAGCTGAGCTCGACTGGCCTTCCGCGGACTGTGGCTGAGCTCGACTGGCCTTCCGCCGGCTGTAGCTGAGCTCGACTGGCCTTCCACAGACTGTAGCTGAGCTCGACTGGCTCTTCACGCACTGTAGCTGAGCTCGACTGGCCTTCCGCGGACTGTAGCTGAGCTCGACTGGCCTTCCGCAAACTGTAGCTGAGCTCGACTGGCCTTCCGCTGACTGAAGCTGAGCTCGACTGGCCTTCCTTGGAATGTAACTGAGCTCGACTGGCCTTACGTGGACTGTAGCTGAGCTCGACTAGCCTTTCACAGACTGCGACTGGGATAGACTGTCCCCCCCCCCCCACTCACATTGAGTGGCATGAGTGGGTCCTCTGCGGACCTGCGGATGGGTTGGACTGGTCCTACACATACCGTAACTGAGCTGGACTGTGGTCTAATATGGATGGTGACTGCGCCCAGCACAGTACCTATGCTGACAGCCGACAGCAGACGGCTGAGCTGTTCCTGAATTAATCGGTGCGGTCAGGAGCGCATACTAACGAAGATAAAGCGAGTGTTGAGCTGGTGGATATTGACTCAGCAGAGACGAGCGGCTTACGGGACGGCGTGCTGCCAAACGTTGGTGGTACGTGGAGAACGCGCAGCAAGTGTGAAAACTGCAAGTGTGACAAACTGTCATACCAACTATCATCAAAACCGGCCAAGTGTTTGCATTTTGTCTATCAAAAGACGCCCATTTAGACCGCTTTAGCACACCAAGTTTTCTCACCTTTCTCCACCAACGGTGGGACAGTGGGAGAAAACTGCCACGAATAGCGATATGTCGACCAAAGCAAATCAGACAGCAGCTGTCGACCGCAGAAAAACACCGTGTGCCTTTAATTGGGACAATCAGTCAGAGTTTGTTGCGTCAATTTGTCATCCGTCGCCGAGGTTGTAAGAAACCGCGTAAAAAAAGACGGAGCGGAAGCATTTTTACATGAGCCTTTGCGTTCAAGGTTTGTGGTCTTGTTTGAACGTTTGGACGATTCAAAAACGGTTGTGGGTTCACTCAGCACGCTTTGGCGACCTATTGTTTCGAAAAAATTGTCGTTAAAAAAAATCCTAAAAACTTTCCCGTGAACATAATTACGATCTGTGTAAAAGACGTAATCGAACCTCGTTTGTTCCAATACCAAAATGAATAAACGAAGCTCTGACAATCTTCCCTCATTTGATGTAGTAAAGATGATAGCACATCGAATATTACCTCCAGCAAGTTCCCATGAACTGAAAAGTCCATCCAGCAGGTGTCTGATAAGAACTGTGCTTAATACAGCACATTAGAGTCGTCAGTTCATTTCCTGTAATTACGAGGATAAAGACTGTGGCTGTAGGCGCAATGGATGTTGGGATCCGTAATGGCCACACATCTATCGTGGGTCATTATTTGCTTTTTTGAAAACTCAACAACTGCAAAGTCATTTTCTTATTCTTCCATACCATTGCCAATAGCATTACCTGAATCCAAGTATTTCGAACTTTCAATGAGGAAATGTCGCTTGTTGAGACAAGAGATGTCTCTGCCCATGAATAAAGCGGGTCATTGCCCGGGTCATAGGCCCATCTATTACAAGAAACGCCCAGCTATTCAGGCGGATACGCCAGATAATGGCTGGCTGGTAGACAAACGTTCCAATTATAAGAGCGAAACGACAATTACCAGGAAAAGGAAGCTATTAATTACACCCGCTAAATCAGCCGGCAAGCGATCATAGAGAGCGATGTCCATCAATAATTCTTGCAAATATTTGCACACTGATGGCGCCTAACCGGATGTCGAAAAGATGCCGTGCATATAGTGGACCTAATAACTCGCCCAAATCCGAGGGAAACCTGCCGAAAATTCTTTTTTGAAAGACGTATTTCCGAATGGTTTCCACAAGGCTGATACAAAAGTATGTAGTTAACCGCATGGCCAACGACAAGATGTTAAACATATGGAGGCCTCTCCCCTTAAACCGCATGGAACCTCGTATCGTGGTTTGCATTGATGAAATTCCCCAATTGTCCTATGTTTGCTTTGCGCTGTTATTCTTCGTCTCTATGTTTGCTTCGCGCTCCCGATATTTGGGTGCATTACTTTCAGCCGCGGCCATCACAGCTCGTCAACAAATACCTGACGCCAAACGCCACGCCGGCACGCCACAGCTGACTTCCGATTTCACCGCCTCACGTCCCCGGCTTATTACCGCCTCGCAGCGAAGCGCACAGAAAAACACAAACCCCCGCCACAACCGGGCCATGAATCCACGCAAACCACCCTCGGACGGGCGTAACAGGGGCGTAACAGGGGCGTCACGCGAGCGTTACGCGCGCGCGACACGCGAGCGGCCTCACCTGCGACGGTCGTCGGCCCCGACGCCGCTGCGATCGACGCGTCGGCGAGCGGCGGCGCGTCGGCGGCGAGTGAGCCGACGGCAGCGGCGGCGGCGGCGGCGGCGCGCCGTGATCAATCAGAGGGGCGGCGCGCCGTCCGCCGCCGGCCGGCCGCGCCGCCGCCGGGGTCACGCCCGCAGGCAGGGTCACCGAGGGAGCGGTCATGCTGGAGGGGCTGGGACGTCTGAGCAAGGGTCACGCTCGCGGTCTTCATGAGGCGGCCGATGTAATGTTGTTAAGGCTTCAAGCTACCAAGCTGGGCTGTCAGACGCCGCACATGACAGCTCTCAGAGTTCAAATCAGCGCGACTTCGCGGTTTTCAAGCTCGTTGACTTCCGTTTTAAATGATGTTTTTAACTTGATAATTTCGAGGTGGTATATATTAAACATTGCAAATAGGTTTGTCGTAGTCATTCATCAGATTAGTCATAAAAAACCGTTTGGGGAGCTTCACTTGGACGCGTCATAGTTCGGTGCTTTCGCGCTGTTGTACTGATAACCGTAGCGACGTGAGTTCGATGCCTGCTACTAGCTACACTTTTGTCCTCGTTGCGATTGACGCGAGGGATTAGGATAGACTGACCCCCTTATAACTGACCTCCTTATTAGACTGACACCCTCATGACCATACCAGCTTTCGCGTCCTAAAATGGTAGCGTTGCAGGTCATGCATGACATAAAAACACCACCACATTATAATCCATTTTCAGAACGTCAAGCGGGTAAGCGGTATCCATGAATGTTCGAGCACCGAGTTCTCGGAGACATAGCCACAGTCAAATGCAATATATCACGGCTGAGAGACACACTGCTGATTGGAAGCTGAAGAGTACTTACCAAGCATGCGGTGTTGCTGCTCGCACTCCAGCGTAGTGGGTGGCTCACATTTAAAGAATACAGAGACCGGTCCCAGTTCAAGCCCCGACTGCACAAGACCTACAGCCAGAACGCGACGGATCCCACGCGCCGCGTCCTCCACCAGCACCGCCCTCCACAAGGAGCGGGACACGATCGCCGCCGTGCGCCGCTGCAGCGGTCTAGGCGGCCCCGCGTGGCCCGGCGCCCACCACCGGGGCAGCCGGGCGCTCGTCGCAGGGGAGCGACGAGCGAGACAACACAGCTGAGTCACGGCGCGCACGCGGGTCCGTCGCCGGCTGAAGGGGAGTGCGACAGGCCCTGATGAAGCGACGCGTTGAGTCACGGAGCCGGGCCGGGATGTGCCTCCGGCCCGGCCCCGCGGCTCTCCGGCTGCAAGACGAGAGCGACGTACGTGACCGCCGCAGACGGCGGCTCCGGTGTCGGCGCCGCATTGACCCGGGCTGTGGCACTGTGGCGAGGTAATGGCAACACACCGTGGTGTGGTGCCACGCATTCGCCGGGGTGCCGCTGCCACCTGCCCCAGCGCGAGCTCCTCCCGGCACCGGTCTCACCACGAGCTACTCTCCTCGGCGTCACTCCCCTCTCTTCGGAGCCACTTTCCGCGGTACCGCTCTCCCTGCATCACTCTCCCCGGCATTTACTCTCCCCTGCATTTACTCTCCTCGGCATCACTCTCCTCGGCATCACTCTCCTCGGCATCACTCTCCCCGGCGTCACTCTCCCCGGTATTACTCTCCCCGGCATCACTCTCGCCGGCATTTACTCTCCCCGGCATCACTCTCCTCGGCATTTACTCTCCCCGGCATCACTCTCCTCGGCATCACTCTCCTCGGCATCACTCTCCCCGGCGTCACTCTCCCCGGTATTACTCTCCCCGGCATCACTCTCCCCGGCATCACTCTCCCCGGCATCACTCTCCTCGGCATCACTCTCCTCGGCATCACTCTCCCCGGCGTCACTCTCCCCGGTATTACTCTCCGCGGCATCACTCAACCCGGCATCACTCTATCCGGTATCACTTTCCCCGGCATTAGTCTCCCCGGCATCACTCTCCCCGGCATTATTCTCCCCGGCATCGCTTTCCCGGGCATCACTCTACCCCTGCACCACTCTCCGGCACCACTATGATTGACACCACACTCCCTGGCATCACTCCATTCCACTCTATCGCCACTCTTTCCCTGCCCGCGGCATCGCTGCTTCCGCTCTGCCCAGCCATAACCCGCTGATATCCCGACGTCACTCAGCCCAAGCTCCACTGGCCGCAGTGTCGGCACCTGCATGGTTGTATGTATACGGGGTTCAGGTGGTGACTACCACAGACGTGGCCGCTGGATAGATATGCCTTTTAGCTCGCGATGATGATCTCTCGGCAGGAGTTCAGTGGCCTTGAAATAGTGAGTAAGACGGCGGGCTGAGTCTGGCGGTGTGCTGAAAAGTGTCCTCCAATGTTCCAGTGCCCACGTACTGAGAGTCTGAGCCTGGGAGTGCGATGAGCAGCGTGCTGCAGCGTGCTTACTGACACATGTGATTTGCAAACACAGGTCAGTCAGTGGCACACTTCAGTCAGTGTGGTTTTAAGGACTAGCACTTACCGATAACTAAAAGGGTGCACTGAACTTGCGGCATGATTGAAGTCAAATCAAACTTAAGCTCCTGTTATCTAATCGTAAGGACATTTTCTCCGTCGAATCAAACAAGCCGACAACGTGAGTGAAATGCGTGTATGAGAGAGGGAGAGGGGAGAGAGGGAGAGAAAGAGAGAGCGAGAGAGAAAGAGAGAGAGAGAGAGAGAGAGAGAGAGAGAGAGAGAGAGAGAGAGAGAGAGAGAGAGAGAGAGAGAGAGAGAGGAGAGAGAGATAGAGGAGAGAGGATCGAGGAAGACGAGAGGAGAGAGAGAGGATAGAGGAGAGAGAGAGAGAGGAGAAGAGAGAGAAGAGAGAGAGAAGAGAGAGAGGAGGGAATAGAAGAGAGAGGAAGAGAGAAAGGAGAGAGAGAGGAGAGGCTTGGCGGTATATTGCGGACTGCTTGATATGTTGAGTACCTGTAAATTTGATATGCATATGTTCGTAGTCGCATACCACAGCAAAATGTTTGGGGTGTGCGCGCACTCCGGATATTTCTGCCGGAGATCGTCACTCGCTGCTTTGGGAGTAGATCTCTGTGCATGAGAGACGCTTGCATTTGTTTTCCTAGCTTTAAGCATAGTTGTTTTTCTCTTCTGTCAGCGAGGGTTTCCATGTTCAAGCGTCGCAAGATGTGCGAGTATTTCTCGGTACGGCCGACGATGATCTTAAGGCTCTCCTCTACACTTCCTTCAGATGTTGCGCACGCTTAACAGTGAGTTCCACATGAAAAACCGGCGCACAATATTCTAGCAATGGTCGAATGTACGTAATATAGACCCGAACAAGCTGCTCCTATGGCGGCTGGAGCTTCTTTATGACGTAGAGCAGGTATAGAGCGTTCGATGCTTTGATCACGATCTTTGATTTGATCTCATCCGCCTGCGCTTCCTATGACATGTCACTTGATATTGTTACACCTAAGAACGTAGTTTTGGTGGCGGTTGGCAGGCTTTTTCCTTGAATCACGATGTTCCGTAGCACTAATGGTTTCTTGGCTGTGAAAAATGCATCACTTGAGACTTGTGTTAAATATCATTCATATTCATCGCAATTTGCATCTCTCAGGGCTGTTGAAGCTTGTTCGAAATCATTATTATGCCCCCACCATCAAAGTCATCATTTGACGTGATGCATCAAGGCACATGATCATAAGGCCTTTCTCATCAAATCCCCCCTCCCCCTCCCCCCCGGTGGATTTTAAATTCACTCAGGTGGGAACTCATGTTTCAGCCAGGATTGGTTTCCCGCTCCGGGCCCACCCTAATTGTTATAATGGTGTAATGGTGGGCGCTGGACTCGAGCCGACGCGTTTACTGGTCTGCGGGCTTGTTATAATGGTGTAATGGTGGGCGCTGGACTCGAGCCGACGCGTTTACTGGTCTGCGGGCTCGTGGTTACCGAAAGAAGGGGATGTCAGAGCACTAGCCGGGACAAACAGCCCGCCTGAGCCTGCCGAGCTCACGGGAGGCCCTGCAGCACTCGTCATTGGGATGTGGGCACGAGGTTGTCGCGTAGGCATCTGCTACAGCTGCTCCGTGACCTGCACCCGACGCAGGGGCGTGACCTGCACTCAGAGAGGTGCTGAAGGTCAAAGAGGTGCTGAGCTGTTCACGTGCCCGGGTGGTCCGGACGCGTGGAGGAACATTTTTGTTATCGGTTGACAGCAATCAGCTACCCCGCGCAGGTTCCAAAGTTCGATAACGTCTCGAGCTGATGCTGCACTTGACAGGCTTCCATGGTCTTCCGCATCAACAGGCTCACGTCCGCAGTGCACTCAGAGCAAGCAAGTGCGTGGCAACCAGGGCCAGTGCCACCAATCTTTGCTAGTGGGACGAGGCTGTAAAACCATGACATCAGCACTTGAATGGAAATGGGTGCAAAATCGTGCGTTGAAGGGCTGGTGTTCTTGCAAATGCCTACTGCTATGAAAATTAATGTGCCTTGCGCTGCGCCAACGTAAGGCATGGAGGCGCAGGGACCAGGATGGGGCTGGAGCTGAGAACCACAACTTTATGAAAACTTAATATTGGTTCCGTGGGCGTTAGCTGGAAAGAGATAATCCAAACGGTCGTCATCCCGTTTCCTTCCCAAAGTGGAAGGACGTTCGTTGCTGTGTGTCAAGTCGACATTGTCCTGTACATTTGATGGATGTATGTTCATTGCTCGCTTTGAAACATTTTGCACGCAGGTGCCTTGCATGATGACATCGTTATGTGGTGTTGCCTTTACCCATTGCCACACTCGTGGAAATTAAGGCACAGTTTTGGTGAATATGCTGTTAAAACTATGCTGAAATACACTATCATTGTATCTTTGAATAATCGCATTTGCAACAATTTTGGTATGATACAGTTTCGAACTGACATTAAAGCAGGGTCTGAGCCTGACTTGCCGAGGGACGGAGGTTCATGTTCATCAATGCTTTCTGGGTTTAGTCAAAAAAGTTTAGAGCGGTGCGACGCAAAGTTTTATCACTGTTTTTGTACTTGTTTTGTACACGGGGAAAACTCGCAATTTCCAAGCAGGTCAGTGGCAGTGGCAGAGGTCAGTCTGAGGTCAAAAACCAAACATATCATCTTATAAATTGTTTATGCAGGTGACGATTATAATCTGAAATTCATTTACAATGACCTAGGTAGACAAATGAAGTAAAAAGCAATCGTTTCCGGAGTAAGATTGCTTGAACCGGACTTCAATATACAACAAACAAAAAAATAGGAAAATATAAGGACGGACCGAATATGCGTCAAAGGGGAACGCGGCCTACTGAGCGGAAGATGCTTACACTAGGTACTGGGCGATTTCGCAGGAATTTGGCCCAAATTCGCAGGACTACGGATGATTTTTGGCGTTTGGCCTCGTGAGGAAGATGTTGGCTTCGTGTCTGAGGAAATCGCATTGAAAATTGCGCGGGCATTGTCGCGTTTTAAATACGCGGTGCTCTGAGATATATTTTAGGGGTCACAAATGTTTTCCACTCGCTCCAGTCGGGCGTGGGTTAAAAACCAGCTCTACACATGAAAGCATACCACTCGACAGCTGTTTTTTTAAGTTCATTACATTGTAACATGCTGCTCATGATTTCTGAAGAGACTTTCTTTCATCCGTTTCTTTCCCATTGTAAATCTCTCAACAATGTTATTCCTGGTGGTGTAGGAGCTGTGCACACCAACCTTATGGGGGCGTCCAAGAGCAGCGCCACCGGAGAGGCAAGGGAGCAACCGTCCCATTGCCACTTACCGAGGTGGCAAATATGTCCCTCTGTCCGTCCTTTGCAATGTGGGATGCATCATGCGGACACTCAACCATTAAGTCGTTAAACTTCTGCTTCTTCTCAAGGCCGCGCCCACCAGTTCAACCACAGCTGGACGCAGGTACAGTGTGCGACAGCGGCTGAGAACTTGCTTTGCTTGATGATGGTGCGGAGGGGGGATCAACGCAGCACCAGTGAGTTACGAGCATCGCTTATGCCTGGGTCGAATGAATCCATCTCATGCCGCAGTCGCTTTTCCGA